AGTCCGGCAAAATGGGTTCTCGCCGCCGCCAATCATCATCGTCATCTCCATCATCTTTGCAGCCGCTTTGGCTCCAGACCTTAGCAAGTTTGCCGCGCGGGTGAGCACTCCATCTGCCCTGGCCGTTGGCCGTGCAGGTGAGAAAAGTCCGGCAAAATGGGTTCTCGCCGCCGCCAATCATCATCGTCATCTCCAGCATCTTTGCAGCCGCTTTGGCTCAAGACCTTAGCAAGTTTGCCGCGCGGGTGAGCACTCCATCTGCCCTGGCCGTTGGCCGTGCAGGTGAGAAAAGTCCGGCAAAATGGGTTCTCGCCGCCGCCAATCATCATCGTCATCTCCATCATCTTTGCAGCCGGCCTAAGACCTTAGGCAAGTTGTGCCGCGCGGTAGGTTTGGATCACTCCATCTGCCATGCCGTGGCCGTGCAGGTGAGAAAAGTCCCGCAAAATGGGTTCTCGCCGCCGCCAATCATCATCGTCATCTCCATCATCTTTGCAGCCGCTTTGGCTCAAGACCTTAGCAAGTTTGCCGCGCGGGTGAGCACTCCATCTGCCCTGGCCGTTGGCCGTGCAGGTGAGAAAAGTCCTGCAAAATGGGTTCTCGCCGCCGCCAATCATCATCGTCATCTCCATCATCTTTGCAGCCGCTTTGGCTCAAGACCTTAGCAAGTTTGCCGCGCGGGTGAGCACTCCATCTGCCCTGGCCGTTGGCCGTGCAGGTGAGAAAAGTCCGGCAAAATGGGTTCTCGCCGCCGCCAATCATCATCTTCATCTCCATCATCTTTGCAGCCGCTTTGGCTCAAGACCTTAGCAAGTTTGCCGCGCGGGTGAGCACTCCATCTGCCCTGGCCGTTGGCCGTGCAGGTGGGCCAGAAGTTCCGCACGGGGGGTCGTACTATAGTTTTGACCACAAGACGTCATGCTCTCGACGCACCTGCCCCCCCCGTAGAATCTTAGCGACAATAATTTTGGGTCGGGCGGCGGAGCGACTCCGATGGGTTCTCACCCTGTAAGAATATAAACAATTATATATTTTAAAAACAGGGTGATTAATTACTCAGTTTTTTTTTCCAATTTACAATAGGGCGGGAAAACACTCCGACTTGAACCCATGCACAATAAACCACTCCGCCTTGGGTCACGTTTGACTCGTCGTGTCATCTCCCCACGGCCCTGTCTTCGCATTGACAACCGCGATGTTTCATTGTATTCCTTGTTGCATTGATGCCTTGAGACCCTGGGCATCCTTCTCCAATGCGGTCGCTCTCGGTTCACTGGTTGGCCGCCCCAGAGGGCCCACAAAGGCTCGCGAATCCGAATCAAGGCACCTTTGCATCCTCATCGGTCCTCCGTGGCACGCGTGACTAGCGAGGCAATTCTCATCTTATGGTCAAAAACTTTAGTACCCCCGAAGGGCAAAATGGGTTCTCGCCGCCGCCAATCATCATCGTCATCTCCATCATCTTTGCAGCCGCTTTGGCTCAAGACCTTAGCAAGTTTGCCGCAGCGGTGAGCACATCCATCTCATCTTTGCAGCCGCTGGGTTCAAGACCTTAGCAAGTTTGCCGCGCGTGTGACACTCCATCTGCCCTGGCAGTTGGCCGTGCAGGTGAGAAAGTCCGGCAAAATGGGTTCTCGCCGCCGCCAATCATCATCGTCATCTCCATCATCTTTGCAGCCGCTTTGGCTCAAGACCTTAGCAAGTTTGCCGCGCGGGTGAGCACTCCAACTGCCCTGGCCGTTTGCCGTGCAGGTGAGAAAAGTCCCGGCAAAATGGGTCCGCCGGCGCCCAATCATTCATCTCATCTCCATCATCTTGCAGCCGTTTGGCTCAAGACTTTTAGCAAGTTTGCCGCGCGGGTGAGATCACCTGCCATCGGCCGTTGGCCGTGCAGGTGAGAAAAGTCCGCACGGGGGGTACTAGAGTTTTGACCATAAGGCGTCATGCTGTCGACGCCCCCTGCCCCCCCGTAGAATCTTAGCGACATGTTTTGGGTCGGGCGGCGGTTCGACTCCGATGGGCTCTCACCCTGTAAGAATATAATAATATATATTTAAAACAGGATGATAATTACTCCGTCCCATGTACAATAGGGCCGGAAAACACTCCGACTTGAACCCATTCACAATAAACCACTCCGCTTGGGTCACGTTTGATCGTCCGTGTCATCATCCCCATCGACCCTGTCCTTATCATGCCAATGCGATGTTTCATGGTATTCCTTGTTGCATTGATGCTGTAAGACCCTGGGCATCCTTCTCCAATGCGGTCGCTCTCGGTTCACTGGTTGGCCGTCCCCAGAGGGCCCACAAGGCTCGCGATCCGCATCAAGGCACCTTTGCATCCTGATCGGTCCTCCGCGGCACGCGTGACCAGCGAGGCAATTCTCAACTTATGGTCAAAAACTTTAGTACCCCCGAAGGGCAAAATGGGTTCTCGCCGCCGCCAATCATCATCGTCATCTCCATCATCTTTGCAGCCGCTTTGGCTCAAGACCTTAGCAAGTTTGCCGCGCGGTGAGCACTCCATCTGCCCTGGCCGTTGGCCGTGCAGGTGAGAAAAGTCCGGCAAAATGGGTTCTCGCCGCCGCCAATCATCATCGTCATCTCCATCATCTTTGCAGCCGCTTTGGCTCAAGACCGTAGCAAGTTTGCCGCGCGGGTGAGCACTCCAACTGCCCTGGCCGTTGGCCGTGCAGGTGAGAAAAGTCCGGAAAATGTTCCGCCGCCGCCAATAATATCGTAATATCCATTCATCTTGCAGACGCTTTGGAACTCAAGACCTAGCAAGTTAGCAAGTTTGCCGCGCGGGTGAGCACTCCACTGCCCTGGCCGTTGGCCGTGCAGGTGAGAAAAGTCCGCACGGGGGGTACTATAGTTTTGACCATAAGACGCCATGCTCTCGACGCCCCTTGCCCCCCCGTAGAATCTTAGCGACATATTTTGGGTCGGGCGGCGGTTCGACTCCGATGGGTTCTCACCCTGTAAGAATATAATAATATATATTTAAAACAGGGTGATAATTACTCCGTCCCATTTAAAATAGGGCCGGAGAATCTTAGCGACATATTTTGGGTCGGGCGGCGGTTCGACTCCGATGGTTCTCACCCTGTAAGAATATAATAATATATATTTAAAACAGGGTGATAATTACTCCGTCCCATTTAAAATAGGGCCGGAAAACACTCCGACTTGAACCCATTCACAATAAACCACTCCGCTTGGGTCACGTTTGATCGTCCGTGTCATCATCCCCATCGGCCCTGTCCTTCTCATGCCAACGCGATGTTTCATTGTATTCCTTGTTGCATTGATGCCGTGAGACCCTGGGCATCCTTCTCCAATGCGGTCGCTCTCGGTTCACTGGTTGGCCGCCCCAGAGGGCCCACAAAGGCTCGCGAATCCGAATCAAGGCACCTTTGCATCCTCATCGGTCCTCCGCGGCACGCGTGACTAGCGAGGCAATTCTCATCTTATGGTCAAAAACTTTAGTACCCCCGAAGTACTACTACTACGACCCCACTCGCGCCACAAGTTCACTCACTACTCGCTTCAGGGCGCTGGGCAACTCTACACTACTAGAGCTAGGCTTCCCAGGTACGGTTCAGCTTCGCGGAAGGCCTCGCCGAGGCCGAAAACACGCGAAGGCGGAACGCCGCCCGAAGGCGGGCAGGCCAGGGCAAGGCAGGCAGACAGCGCTACCCACCCTGCCCGAGCCCGCGGGGCCGAGTCCGCGTAGAAGCTGAGCCGTACCCATAAGACCCAGCCCCCCGCCCCCCGACGGCCCGCGCGGGCCGAGGCGTCGCGCCTATTCCTTCTTCTTGCCCAGCAGCTGCTTGGGCATCTCCCCGCGGGGAACCTTGCCCGCCTTCTTGACTCCGCCCATCGCGCGGAGGAGGATCCCCATCAGGTGCATCAGCTCGACGGTCTTCTGCTTGTCGCCAAGGCGGACCAGCTCGAGTGGCGTCCGCTGAAGGTTCGCCTCGTAGGCGGGGTCGGTTGGCGCCCCTCCCCAAGCTGCCTTCTGCTGCTGGGTGTACTCGTCGTCGGCCTCCTTCGTGCTGCACACCACGACGCTGCCGCGCAGACACATCGTGAGCCTGATCTTCTTCGTGTCGTACATCGGACTGTACGTAAAGTCCTTGATCCATTCTCCCGCGTCGTTCTCGTTGCCATGCTGCAGCATCAGCATCAGACGTGCGGGCACTCCCTTGAACCGCTGGAGCTGCGGGGAGTCTTCCGCTTGCAACCAGTTCTCGATATCTTTGAGAGCCGCTGAAAATAGCTGGAGTTCGGGTGGGCCCCTGTGGTGCTTGGGGCCCTCCTCTTTCGTCACTTTGAGATACTCTTGGTACTTCTGCTGCCCGTTCTTCACCATGACCGATTCGGCTGGCATGTGAATCTGCACTGCGTTGCCGTACTCCACTGCCCTCATCCTCGCCTCGAGCTGCACTACCATCTTGCGCACCAGCACGTCCTCTGAGTCCTGCGACTTGTGCTTCTTGGGCGGGACGTTGGGGGCGGGCTCGGCGGTGGAGGGTAGCAACCAACTCATGAGCGCCCAACTCAATCTCGTGGTCTCCGAGGTGTGGCGCCAGGTGCGCCGTAAGTATGTGTTGTCGTAAAGTTTGAGCCTCCTCGGCTTCGTACGGGCATAGTCGACACTTCGTCGTTTCGAGTCTGATAATACTGCTCGATCTTGCTCGGTCCCTACATACTCCCTGCTCGTACGCTCTCGTCATGTGCTTCTGTGCCTGCGCATATGTCGAAAAAACCACTCCACATACCGTGCATTGATTGCTGATACAACATACTCGGAATAATATCTGCTTTCCGTGCGTGCCCCCTCGAGTGTGTGCGTAGTGTGACGCAGGCCGAGCTCGATCGGGGAAAGAGGCCATGCACGGGTTCCCATTTTCGTCCTCCGCCCAGCATTGATATTCACCTCCCTCCAGTCGTTCAGGTCGATCGGGCTCGTACCTACATCGGTTGTGAACGAAGTGAGCCCTGAGCCCCAAGAGGTCCAGCTGGATGAAATCCTCCCTGCCCTCTAGAATCGCTCGAACGGGTTGCCTATCATACCTATCCAGAAAGACCTCCCCGTCGTCGTAAACCTCCAAGCTCAGAATATCTTGGAGCCACTGGCGGGCCCACGGATTAGCATTCTCCCAGTTGTCGTCCCGAACGGTCTCTTGCGATTTCTGGGGGGCTCTGATAGAGCCAAATACTACGCCTAAAACCTGGTCCGCGACACTCAAGTTCGATAACAATTGTTGGAGCCATTTGAGCCTCCGAATCCTGGCCTCGACGAACAAGCTGGCCGACCCTAGCTTCACCATCACCTCAAGATTCGTCAACGAACGAACAGTGCCGTCTTGCCTAGTATCCGAGACCCCTCCGAATATGACTCTCCCCCTTCTGGCGATAAACGATTCCATGCTCTGAAAATCTGACACTTTCATCGGACCATCTTTTTTCACGAACGTCTCGACGCCCGTCATCATGGCATTAATTACGTACCCTTTGTAGATACTCACCTTCCATTTCTGCGATACATTGGACGTCCAGAAGTTGCCCATGGAGCCCCATGCCGCCTTCGCGGCGATAAAACGATATCCTATCTCCACTGAAATAGCGAACCGTGCCGTGAGCCTCACGCCAAGGTATCGTGCTGTCGCTGCTGCATGTCCTTCGAGCACGGTGTCCTGGAGAATCTCGCGCTCGAGCCTGTGCGCACCCACTCCGCAACAATAAGGGACAGTCTCTTGCTTCGATACGTTCTGCTCAAGTCCCATCTCTCCCAGCATCTGTGTCACAGCACCGTTCTGCACTCGTCCCTCACGAGCTGCGGCCTGCCTGTTCTCGAATTTGAACATGTCCGCCACATCATCGACGAACAACGTTAGTGCTGCCTGTTCTCGTTTGCCCGTCCATGGTGAAATCACCTCCACGTGGTTGATCTCGTCCTGGGCGTAGCTCTCGAGCCCTCGCGCATACGCCATCACGAAGAGGAAAACCATGATCGGGTCGCCTGGCATACACCCCTCGTGCATCACCAGCATGTGAGGCGGGCCCTCGAATACAAAGTGTGCCCATCGAATACGATCTAGCATCATTGTGATATGCCGCTCATCCAGGTGCTGCAAAACAATCTGATTAAGCCTGCCCGTCTTGATGGAAAAGAACGCATTGGTGGCGTCGTGCATCCTCCTTGCGTGCTGGACCCTCATCTTCTGCATACGCCATGCACCGCACGCCTGCACTACGACTGCTCCCTCGCGCCTCCGGGCCCGTAGCGCTCCGTAAGCCCAGCTCGGGATGTCGTCCATCAAGGCCTTCTTAAGCATGTGCCTGTAGTGGAACTTAGCTAGAGTACATATCACCATGACCACTCTCTCGCCGTCGACCCCTTCCTTCTCGTTACCCTTCGGAATTGGGGCTGCCTTTGCTCGAAGCCAAGCCAGTGGTAACCTCTGCGTAAGAAGAATTGCTTCCACCATCGCTCGAAGGAAGAAGTAAAACTGGGGCGTCTGTAAATGCTCAACTTCTGGTACGTGTCCTAAGCCGTGACGTCGTGCTACCATCCGCTTGTTAGTCCACTTCGGAAACATCATACACCTCAATAACTCTACACTCGAGCTCCATGAAGGTGAAGATCGCCACAATCTTGCCCTCCACGCTGCTGACGTGATACCTTGGATCTCGTCGTTGATCTCCTCCCTGGTGTACTCCACTCTGGTGGCTGATTCGCGAGCTTGCCGAATCTCCTGCTCTGTGCGAATCTCAGCGGAGCATCCCCCGCGAGGGCCTGCCTTCTGCATCTTCTCGACCCATGAGGTAACGTCTCCAGCGATCCGATGCCGTCCAAATACTCGTTTCCGCCCTCCTCGATTACGTTGCGCCAATAGCCTTGCCATCTTGTGAACCTGATGAAAATCGTTTGCCTTCACCGCTCTCATGAACTCGTCGCACCTCAGCGCCGTGACCTCTCGCCAGTACTGCTGCTTCTGCTTGGTCAACCATTTGCTCAAGATCTTGAGCCTCTGCATCAGGATCGTGCTGTCGATGATGCGCTGGATCTGAGATACTTCGAGTCCCATTGCAACCAATTCTCGATATCTTTCAGAGCCAAGAAAACTGCTAGCCATCTGGATCCACTCCTCGACCGTGACCAGGTCTGAGTTCATATTCAGCTCGGATAATAGAATCCCTCCATTGACAATCTGACCTGGGATCTCCTGTAGATACTCTTGCGTCCAACCGACGTAGCGCGATAAATATGCAAACTGCTCTCGTACTTCACGCCGTTGTCGAAGTAGTTGCCGTACCTCTCGAGCATGAGCTTTGTGGTTCTCCGTATATCCGAACGACTCAGAACAACATACTTTTGCTGCTGAACTGATCGCTTCATGGATCACCTCGTTGGCGTAGTCGGGCCGCTCCTCCAGGCCTTTGCTGGACAAATCGTTCCGCCTACTTCTCAGGTACTGCTCAACTCTTCCCACAAATTCAGCTCGCCTATGTCCAAGTTGCAGCATTCGCGCCACCGTCTCTTTGTCGATGGTGACCTGCGGAGTCGGGCTGTACGGCTCCGCGATGATGCGCAAATCGAAGCATGCCGCCAGCGGAACATGATCCCACAGCCCACTCAAGTTGTGCAACTGCAATTTCCATGCCGACCGTATCAGCGTCCTGCACCACATCGTAGACTTGTGCCACTCCTGTGGAATACAGATATAGTCAAGCGTCTTGGCCACTCCCTTGTTGTAGTACGTGGGGCCAGCCTGCCTGTAGTATGTGTTGATCGCTCGCATCTGGTGTGCGGCGAGCATGGCCGACATGAGCTCGCTCGTGCGCGTGAAGGTCCCCAGGTGGTGCTCGCCCGTGACCCCTTCCACCTCCGAGAACTGTGCGTTCAGATCCGTGAGGATGACGGGCGACCATCTGGCTCCTTGCGCCCCCATGATGCCGTAGAGCCACTTGATCATGCAGTCGATGGTCCGCTCCCACTTCGCCTTGGCCTCGCGCCCGCGGCTGGGAACGGGGGGAAAATACATTAAGATCACCACCATTCTGAGAGAAGCTCGCTGTAGCCTGAACGCTCCCACTCGTCCCCGCAAACCCTTGGGCACTGCACTGAAGCCTCGCAAACAACTTCGAGGAAACTTGCGACCATTGATCCAAGCCGATACTCCGCAGCTTCGATTCACATGTGGGCTCGGCGCCCACCCCCACTCAATACTATAATACTGGCCCTCCCTTCTCACTGCCCCAAGAAGCTCCGTGCCTGTAGCGCGCTGCTGCGTGCCTATCAAGCCGATAATGTCCATGTTGCGAATCTCGTCGACGATATCCTGGGCGCGCTGGCGCCCCGCTGAGAGAGGATTATACGAACACAGCGCGACCCCTCCGTGGGCCGCCTGAACCACATCGCTGGCTCCGAATCTCTCCTCTGGCGAAGGTTCGGATGGCATGCAGAAGGTGGGCCGCAGGGGGAGCCCCCCCCATTTGAGAAGATGGCCACCTTTCCTCCTCCTCCTCCTCCTCCTCCTCCTCCTCCTCCTCCTCTTCTCCCTCCTTCCTCCTCCTCCTCCTCCCTCCTCCTCCTCCTCCTCTCCTCCTCCTCCTCTCCTCCTCCGCCTCCTCCTCCTCCTCCTCCTCCTCCTCCTCCTCACCTCCTCCTTCCCTCCTCCTCCTCCTCCTCCCCTCCTCCTCCTCCTCCTCCTCCTCCTCCTCCTCCTCCTCCGCCTCATCCCCTCTCCTCCTCCTCCTCCTCCTCCTCCTCCTCCTCCTCCTCCCTCCCTCCCTCTCCCCCCCTCCGTCTCCCTCCCTCCCTCCCCCTCCCCTCCCTCCCTCCCTCCTCCCTCACTCCCTCTCCCTCCTCCTCCTCCTCCTCCGAGCAACGTGTGGCGGCCCTTGCCGCCCGTGAAAAAGCTAAAGAAGAGGCAAGAGCCTCAGGGGCGGTTTAACTCGGGTCGATCCCGCCAACGCTTTTGGTGCTGTCACCTCCCGACCTTTCAAGGTGCTGTCCATCCATCCTTCCTCCTCCTCCTCCCTCTCCTCCTCCTCCTCCTCCTCCTCCTCCTCCTCCTCCTCCTCCTCCTCCTCCTCCTCCTCCTCCTCCTCTTCCTCTCCTCTTATCTTATCTTATCTTATCTTATCTTATCTTATCTTATCTTCCTCCTCCTCCTCCTCATCTCTTCCTCGGAGGGGGAGGAGGAAGAAGAGGGTGGAACTTGGGACTACCTACCAGACCAACTCAGCCCAACCCTCGAAGACCCAAAAATCTGGTTGGGGGGGTAATCACGGATTCCATATGAAGGTGTGTCCATGTTCCCCGACGCCCCCCCACTGAGAGTGGAAGGCAGATTGGGGGCCGTCGGGTTGGGTTGGGGTGGTTTGACGGGTGGTGACTGGGCCCGGGTCAGGTGTGACTAAACACTGTGCAATCACGAGGGGGGGAGGGGGCATACCGCGCGTTATGGCCCAAGTGGGAGAGCAAGCACTCTCCACGGGGTCGCGGCCCAGGGCCTGGCCCGCGACGCCGTGGGAGCGGCGCTGTGCTCCGCCCCCGAGGCGTGGCGTGCGGTCTTGGCCCGGGAGGGCCAGCAGCCTCCACATGGTGCCAGCCTGGCGCTCCCGTCTCGGTGCGGCAGGCTCGTGCAGTGACCGCCTCGGCGTCGGCTCCTGACACCGCGTGGATCGTGTTCGAAGACGAAGCCAGGACGAGGCCAAATTGGGGTACGGATGAATCGAGAACCTCGGAGTTCCCGCGGCTCTGGAGGATGTCTCGGGCGCCACGGCCGTCTCAAGGTGTTCTGGAACGCTCTGAGAGCGTTCCGGAACGCTCTGGAACGGAAGTGTATCCTCGACCCAGCCCCGCCCGATGTTCAACCCTGAACGGTCGGCGGCTTTTCGATCGCTGGGTCGTCCCATACAATGGAGGCCAGTCCACAGGAGAACTTCCACAAGAAACCCAACCCTGAGACCCCAGGACGTTCATCGATTCTTTGGTGTGGGAACGGCACGCTTTCCATGGCAAAACCATCGAAACCCAAGAAGCCAAGGGCACCCTGGAGGCAAGCAGGGTGTTTCTTGGCATGGACCACAACTGTATTGGCCGATTCTGGGCCGCTGGCGGCGTTCAACGTGGAGCACCCGCGCGGAGGGGGGCGCCGCGTCGGCAAGACGCGAGCCTGCCATAGCTGCAGAGGGAGAAGGGGGGGAGAGTAAGGCACTCTCGTGGGCTCTTTCGGGCCCTATTCGGCCCTGTTCGGGCTATCCTGGAAGCCTTTGGGCCCTTTGGGGGCCCTCTTGAGACGTCAGATGGCTGGTGGCCATTTGGGGCTCTTACCGGCCAACTTGGAGCTCTTAGCAGTCGAACAGATCGAGAATAGCAGATGGTGGAGCAGGGCGAAGGAGAGGATGAGGGGAGTGGGGAGAGGCGGGGGCTGCCTCGTACATGTGCGCCGCGATGATCTCCTGTTGGAGGCCTGAAAATTGGCACCAACACCAACACAAGGGTGTTTCCACAAGGGGAGAATGATTCTTCTGTGGCAACTCATGGTAGCCTCTCATACCATCTTGCTGGCTCGTGCGTTTCGACGCTAATCGACGCTGAATCGGCTCTAATCGAGGCTCATCGACTCTAGATCGGAGCCATCTCACCGATTCCCAGACGCGAATCGACGCCAGTGCACCCGAAAGGTGGAATTGCGAGGGCACACAAGACTCCCATGATTTGCGACCGAAAGATTATGGTACAGCGGAGGCCAGTCCACCAGAGACCTTCCACAAGAAATCCAGCCCTGAGACCCCGGAAGGCCAATTGATTTTTTTGGTGTGGGACCGTCCCGCTTCCCAGAGCAAGGCCATCGAACTTAAGAAACCCAGAGCACCCTGGAGGCAAGCAGGGTGTCGGAGGCAAGCAGGGTGTTTCTTGGCATGGGCCCCCACTCTAGTTTTAGCTCGGGCGTGTCCCCCTACAGGGGGATTTTGGGCGAGAAATAAAACATACCCAACAAAAAACCCAAATGCTCAAAAATAGTACAGAAATCATCCCCCGACTATTTTTTGACTATTTTGGAATGTTCCTCCTGTAGAGGGACAGGCCCGACTTAACTCTACTGGTGGTCATCTTTCACCCAGGATCATCTTCCCTCAGTGGCGGCAACCGCCGATACCAGTGCTGGTGCCGACTTCGAGGCCTCCCCTCCCTCCTGGGCCCTCCTGTTGAAGTTCGGTTTCACCTCGGCGATTCCAAAGGGCGTGGCTTTGGCACAGGGTGTGGCTCGCAACCGGCACCCTGGGGGGCAAACCTGGGGGGCAGGCGGGTACCTCGATAGACAGGGCGACGATATCTATACATATCCACTGCTCCTTGGCCAGGTCCATCCTGAACCCAGCAGCTGTGTCTACGCCACGCCCTTCTCGCCTGGCCAGGAGGGCGCATGCACACAGCTCCTGGGTTCAGCATGGGCCTGCCCAGGTAGCAGTGGACATGCAGAAATTCCGTCGCCCGATCAGAGCTCTCCGCCGCGCCCCGAGGAGGCCCGACGAGGACGGTGCCGTGCCCCCCTGGGCCCCAGCGGCGCCGATCGCAGACCGCACCCCGGGCGTCACCGCACCCCTTGCAGTCGCCGATCACCGCCTGCTGCCGCAGCCTCGGCAGCCTGGCCGTCTGAGCCGGGCCCGGGCGCTCCGCCTCCCTCTGCCGCGCGGGCATCTCCCGAGAGTGCCCCCTCCGAGGGTCCTCTCGCCGCGCCGGCCCTGCTCGGGGGTCGCCAGAATGGGCCCCAGGAGCGGCCAGCACCGAACCGGGAGACTGGGTCGGATCTGGACGCGCATCGGATCGGGCTGCAGCGCATCGATGCACGGGGTCGAGAACTGCATCGGCTGCGCCAGGACGCACAGCAACGCAATGCGAGTATCGAGCCATATCGGATCGTCGGAACATCGGAATCGAATCGGATCGAGCCCGCCGGAATCGACATCGACATCGAGTCGGATCGATGGGATCGAAATGGTTCCTGGGTCCTGGCCCGGAAGACAAGACAAAGGACTGCGTAAGCATCAACTGTCGGAGATCCGCGCGCATTCCTGAGATCGGCGCTGGGCCCCCCCTCTCTGGCGCACGGAGCGCGCCAGGGGCGGCGCTGGAGGCGCCGCCACGAGGGGCCCAGTGCTGATCTGAGAAATCCGCGCGAAGCTCCGAAAGCGTATGTCTAGCGTTCGCTAGGGATTGGCTCCCTGTCAACGCAGCCAAACCCGTCCCGAAGCCCTCCGAAACGAAACCCCTCTGGGAAGGGCTCCGGGAGGCTACAGTCAACCAGTTTAGTAAGGATGCGCGATAAGAATGCAAGGGCCTTGGACGCCCATTTCGAAGCTTTTCGAGCGGGGCGCGGCCAGCGAAAGCGGCGAAGGATGGACCGAGGAGGCAAGGATGCAAGGGTACCCTTGGGAAGGTTGCCCATCCAGGATTCCCGGAATCCTTACTGTGCGGGTTGACTGTATTCGGAGGGCTTCGGGAGGGTTTGGGAGTGGTTTTTGTCGCTTCGGAAGGAAACCTCGACAGCCAAACTCTACATAGGACCGACGCTTTTTCTGGTGCTGCAGCAGGCGGCGCCCCCCGGGCCCCCCAAATTTCCACGTTCGCGCCGAAGAACTGGCGACTGCGGTTGTTCGTCGGGCCCCAGGGGCCGCGCTGCGCACGTCGCTGAACACCGCAGACCTGCGCTTGACTTCTCGCGGAGGGCCGAGGGGTCCGGTCGCGATGCTTCGCGCTGCTGACACCTTTTTTGTCGCGGCGTCGGATCGCAGGGCAGCACGCGCCGCTGCGGGGCCCCAGAGTTTGCAGCGACGAGGTCATGACATGCCTCGTGTCACCATGCGGGCCGCAGGATAGTACACCACAAGGAACGAAAAGGGCTCGCCTGGCCACGGCGGGCCTATGCCACAAACCGACTCCACGACGTAGATCCAAGGGCCGACCACAACGATGCTTGAAGCGCGTTCGCGTTCCGAACGAAACGAAAAATACAACGAGGGCAAAAATCAAGCCAAACATCGTTGTGGTCGGTCCTTGCGTACATCTGAGGATCGGCCGCGAGCGAGGGAGGGGGGAAGAGAGGAGGAGAAGGCCTTCTCAGAAGGTTCGGGAGCCCCCCGGCCTCCCGAGAAGTGTTCCAGACCTTCCGCGAAGACAGACAAAAACTTCTCGGACGACGCGGGGGCTTCTGAGAAGTCCCGCTGCCTTCTGGGCAGCCTTCTCTCCCTTCTCCTTCCCCCCCCCCCTCGCTGGCCGCCGACAAGAACGGCACGAAGACGCGAGCCCCATCCCGAGCCCAGCGTGGTCCCCATCTCGGCGTCCTTCGCTGCACGCGCCCACCGCCCCCGGCGGTGGGCCTGTCCTGGGCCCAGGAGCAGTGCTCCCGCGCACCCCAGGCGACACGGGGGGGAGGGGAGGGGGGGAGGGCAAAGGGGCGGGTCGGAGGCGACGACAGGGGCGAACAGCCCCGGGGAGACCAGCACGGCCAGACCTATAGGACAGAAGGACATCCTCCAGGAACACGGAGACCCTGAGACGGCCAAACTGAAGAACACTCGAGGGCACCGCCCGGGATGCGCGAGAGCATCCCGACAACCACGCCGCACATCGGGGTCGCCTCCCCGAGCCGACTTGGATCTGACACCTCGGGCCGACCGCGCGTGTCTCCAGGTGCGCCGGCGGCCCATGCCTCCGGGGAGGCTCCCGGGCGAAGGCGTGCGGTGCCCGCCCCTCGGCCGTCCGCCCCCACCGTCGCCTCCGAGCGGGCGGGCGAGTCGTCGGCCCACGCGGCTGGTTTTCCCGCGCTTCCGCCAGGAGGAGGAGGAGGAGGAGGAGGAGGAGGAGGAGGAGGAGGAGGAGGAGGAGGAGGAGGAGGAGGAGGACCCCCCCCTGCCCGCCCGCTCCCCATCCGCCCCAGCAGCTCGTCCGGCCCGACATGGCCGTTGAGCACCGCTTCGCCGATCCCCCTCCCCACAGACATGGCCTCGGCCCCAGTGACCGACTTACTCCCCTCCCCCAAATTCACCAGTATGGAACAGCTCTCCCAAATCATTCTACCAACGCAAGGTTTAACATTCCTTGTCCCACAACAAACTCCCCAAATGGGAGAGTACGCCTCAAATGAACTCTGGATGGGGATGCGTGCCACTGAGGACAGGGAGCGGCGAAACGAGGCTGAGCCCCTGGCGAGGAGCGGTGTGGGCGGGCCGCTTGGCGCTGCCCCGAGCCTAGCGGCGCATGGCTGAGGCAGGCCCGCTCCCGACCGCGCCGCGACTTTCGGCGCAGGGGGACCCGGGATGGCGCGCCCTGGGGGCCGGAGCCAGAGCGGCTGCGAGGGGGCACTGGCCGGCGGAGGCGAGGAGAGCTCTGAGCTGCCGGTGGCGCCGACGACGTCGCGGCCGCTGCGGCCGCGCGCCACGGCAAGAGCCGCTGCAGCCTGGGCCGATCCTGCCGGCCTCGTCAGAGCTGTCCAGGGATACAAATTGGAAGACGAGCACAGAAGCGGGCCTCACGCAAGAAGACGTGGAGGCCTTGCGCCGCGGCTTACGCGGGCCGCCAGCGTGGCACAGCGCATGCAGAAGCGGGCGGTCACGCGCGACCTTAGGCGGGAAGCTCACGCGCGAGTGCCCGTGCAGTCGACCCCCGTTTTCTTCCGCCGATCACGTGGATTTCATGGAGCTCCATCTGCTCGAGCGCATGTCGCAGCGCGCGTCCCTCAATGCTGGGAGAGGGGGTCGGATGTCGGACGCACCCGCGGGCGAGCCAACGATTTGGCGCCAGCTCTGGAGCAGCGCTGTTCTTACGGGTGCCGACTTCAAATACAGTTGGCGTCGCAAAGATAGCGTGCAACACCGATCTCCCAAACCCACGCGATCCCTCTGAGGCGATTCCCCCGCGAGGCCCCTTCTGTGTACTGCGCACGCCATCCCCCTGTCAGGGCTTTGGTGCACGCTGTCCCCATGGTGGGGAATATCGTGTAATAAGCGGGCCAGCCGCTCCACATCGCACGCTGGGTTTTCGACGCCAACCGTAACATCAGGCTTACTTTTTGCGAGGCGTCTGTTTTTCCAGGTACCACGGGCAAACAAAAATGCCCCCCCCGGACGCCGAGGGGTTGCGTGTGGAAACAAAACGCACGTGGAGGTCCAGGCGTGCGCCCCGACTGCATCAGGCAGGCCCGAGCTGGATCGCATCGCGAAATCGGATCCGATCGGACACGGATCGGACCGCGCCTGGATCGGCGCGGATTCGGCTCGGGATCGGATCGCATTGGGATCGCGGATCGGGCTCAGCCCCCGCAGGCCAGAGGGGGAAAGTTCAAGGGGCCCAAGGAGACACAGATAAATACACACAAATCCCAGGATTCGCCCTGCTTTCCCATATTTCTGGGGTCTCTGTTTTCCCACCCACTTCCCGCATTTTCCCATGTGTTCCTGAAAACCGACGATTGATTGTGTCTGTGTTGGGATCGGACCGGAGTCATCGACACATCTGGAGATCGCAACGGATCGGGTCAGACCGTGCAGCCGTGCCAGGCGACAGGCCTGGTAGTCTCTCCAGGCGTCCATATCGAACGACTTCGGGATGGTCGACTGGAAATCGGCCATGGTGTCGTGGAACAGGGGCCACCTCAGGCCGCCCGCCCAGCCAGAGGGGCGGGGAGGGAGAGCAAAGGGAGTCGTACAAACAGCAGCCTCCTTGTGAGCGTTATCTTATTCCGCGCTTCGACACTGGGCGGACGGGGGGGGGGAGGGTGGCCTGGCTCCGGACCTCTGCTCAATGCGGCTGTGTTGCGACAGTGCGTCCGATGCCGGAGAATCCACCTGCTCGAAGCAGGGGCCCAAAACAGCCAAGATCTACTCCATTGGGGGGGGAAGGGGGAGGTGCGAGGGCCCGCGCCGATTGGCAAAACTGTGAATAAGAACACGATCACCTTTTTGACCCTGCTTGAGGAAGCCACGGCGAGGGGGGGAAACAGACGCGTTTCCCCTCCTACTCTGCTGAAGGTGACTGCCCTGAAGAACAAAAACCTGCGGGCCGTGCGACCAGCTGCCGCATGAGGAGCAGGCCCGACCCAGCCTGGGGAAGGGAGGGAGAGGGGGTGCGACAGGGAGGGAGGACGAGAGGATGGGCGGGGGGGGGGGGGAGAGGCACCCTTGGGGGAGGGAGGGAGGGAGAGGGGGTGCGACAGGAAGGGAGGACGCCCGGGAGGGGGGAGGGAGGGAGAGGCACCCGTGTGAGCTGCAGAGCCGACTCGGGTGGGCTGGCCCGAAGGGGGGCCCGACGCGCATCGCGGCCGAGAGGCCGAGGCCGAAGCGCACGGACAAAGGACCCACCCTGTGCAGGTTCGGTCAGCAGCACTCCTCCTCCCCCTCCTCCTCCTCCTCCTCCTCCCCAACCTCCTCCTCCTCCTCCTCCTCCTCCTCCTCCTCCTCCTTCTCGTCCTCCTCCTCCTCCTCCCTTTTTGTTTGACGTTGGCCATACTGTAAGCGGGGCTGGCAGCGTTCAGGTGGCAACTGATGCCATGCACAAATACCGACTGAACGCAGTGGTGTGAGCAAGTTAGGCGGCAGGCCCCTGCGGATGAGGAACTATACCGAGTAAATACAAAAGCAGAGTGCCCAAGGGCAAGAGTAACGATGCCTGCCGCTGATGTGGAGGTAGGAGAGCAATCAACAATAGTAACCTTAGCAACATGAGTAACCTAAGGAGGATAATATCGCGGGGAGGTCGGCATGCGCGTGCATTTCAATTCAAGTAAAAAGAGACAGACGACGCGGAGCGTAAAATGGCGATCAAAGTTCGAGACTGTGATGTGTAAAACCTGAGCTGACGGCATGTCTCTCGTGCCCACCATTCCTAGTATCAGCTCTGGCTTGCATGCTGGAACTGCTGCAAGAGATAGTACTGGCTAAGCCAAGAGGCAGTGGGCGGTACGGTGCAAAGGTAGCGGTGGCTGGATGCCTCATCCTCCATGCTTCCCTGGTAGCAGTCACCTAATCTCCATTGGTTAGTCAAGGAAAGCAGTGGGAACAAAGATGATAGAACAGGCTACGCGCGAGGATGAGGCTGGAGCAGGCAGAACTGGCTGGCCTGGTGACTGGCAGATCCTGGATGTGGGTACTGGAGTAAAGCTTGTGTGGCATGGGGTTCAGTTACTCGCACTCGGCGGCCCCCAATGGGCCAGAAGCCCCCCGCAGACGGCCAAACTGGCCATGATGCGAGCGACGCTCTCACCCCAGAAACCTCCCGTAACCTGTCCGCACACCACCCCGTCCACAGCACACGTCAACCTAGCGTATAGGCAACGTGAAGTGAGCAGGATGGGCGAGCAAACTGTGTTGGGGCTGGCATGCAAAGCATGCTCTCCCCCTCCCTGGCGCGCGGAGCGCGCCAGGGGCGGCGCCGCTGGGGGGGGGTCCAGCGCGGATCCGAGAAAGCCGCGCGGAGCGCCGAAAGTTTATGTTTACGGCGTTTCTCTTCTTCGATACACGCAAGACGACTTAGGGTCGTGGGGAAAGGGTGGCTGCGCACCAGCCGTCAGGCCACGAATCAGAGGAGCTGGAGGGGGCAGGGGACGACGGCGCGGGCGGTGCGGCCCGTCCCAGGGGAGTCCTGGGGCAGGCGAGAGGGGAAGGGGGTGGAGTGGGATGGGAGGGAGGACGAGGAGGTGGGCGGAGGGGGGAGGGAGAAGAGCGTGAGAGGGAAACTCACCGTACAGGCGCGACACCCGTCTGATCCCCCTGGGAGTGAACTCGGCCCTCGGCCTTCGGGAGAGCTGAACCAAGAATGGAGCTGAGCAGAGGCCCATCGCTGCCCCTTGTCGCGTCGCGATGGCGACCGTTGAACATGACCCCCCACTCGATTGTGGCACAAGTACGGGGATCAGAGGATTTCGCAGAACCGATGTGCTTGCTTCACTGCAGGCAATCACCGTGACACATGGACCTAAACAAATAACACGTATGGCAACTGGGAACAACGCCCGTCACGGCTACTGTGGTTAAAAACCGACACCACGCTCATTGACAAGACAGTCAAACACCCAGAGCCAACGTTCGTGGCAGCTTTCGATCCGAAGGAGAGGCGGTATCTGCGCGCTGTCATCAGGAGGGGGAGACGACTGAACACGAAATGGGTGTGTACAACTTGCTACCCGATTGCACGGTCGACTGCAGCAAGTGACCCACGGGAAGCCACTCGGCCCCGCACCTCGCAGGTGCCGCGCCGGAAGCTGGCGGGCTCGAGTCTCCCACGGGCCGCGGTGGCGTCGTACAGGGACGCCGTGGCCGATCGGGGCCACGAGATCCGGGAGCAGGGCCACGGGTGCGCGCAACACGGAGAGGTCTGGGCAGCGGACGCCGCAGCTCGCCACCGCCCGCGGCTCTCGGAGCCCCCAGGTGGGGCGGGGCCGTGGCCGCGGAGGAAGAAGAGGGGCTCGGAGAGCCTCGCGGGAGGCCAGGAGGTCCTTCCCAGAGGTTTCGAGAGCTTCTCGGAAGGCCTGGAGGCGCTTCCTGGATGTTTTCCAGTCTTACCTCTGTATTGTTGTCAGCGCTCTCCTTGCCTAGAGAACGGGACTTCTGAGCTGGTCCAGGAGAGCCGCGAGGGCCTCCAAAGTCTCACGCTCTGCAGCCTGCCTGCCTCAATGTTTAAGTCGGGCATGTCCTCCCACAGGCGGATTTTGGAAGAATCGTAGCAAGTAGCCAAACAATAATCAAACATAGTCATATGAGAACGGAAAATCGTCGCCAGACTGTGTTTGCTACCATTCTTGAGTACTCCTCCTGTAGAGGGACATGCCCGACTTAATTCAACGTGCATCGGGTGCGCCGAAGGAGAGGGTCCAGGAAGAGGGGGTGGTGCCATGGCCAGAAGCACGTGCGCGGGCAAGGGGGATCTGGCAAGGGAGCGCATGGAAAGAAGAAGGAAAAGAGGAAGGCGAAGAAGAATACGAGACAGAAACATAATGGGAATACGAACACAAATAGTACAAAGAGTAATAATACTAAAAATACTAGAAGTGATAATGATGATAACCATCATCATCATCATCATCATCATCATCAGCATCATCATCAGTATAATCATAATCAGTATCATGTTCATCGTCATCACGATCAACATCGTAATCATAAACATGCTTAGTATCACCATTCTTTTCATGTCAATATTGGTACGGATACTCATGATGATTAGTTCCCAACCATCCTGTGATGTTGGGTCCTCGTTTTGAAGAGACGGTGCCCCGCGTCTCTCCTCCTTCCTTCCTTCCTTCCTCCCCCTCCTCCCTCCTCCCTCCTCCCTCCTCCCTCCTCCCCCTCCTTGCCTCTGCTCCCGGCACACCTCTCACACGTTTCGTAGCCCCATAGGGAGCTCCACCGAAGGCTCCAGTGGGGGTGTTCGCATGCGGCTCCCCCACGCAGGACAGCGCTTCGTGGCCCCATAGGGAGCCCCACAGAAGGCCCCAGTGGGGGTGTTCGCATGCGTTTCCCCCACGCAGGACAACGCTTCGTGGCCCCAAAGGGAGCTCCACCGAAGGCCCCAGCGGGGGTGTTCGCATGTGTCCCCCCCCACGCAGGACAGCGCTTCGTGGCCCCATAGGGAGCCCCACCGAAGGCATCAATCGAAGGTGTTCGCATGCGTCTCCCCCACCCCGGACAGCGCTTCGTAGCCCCATAGGGAGCTCCACCGAAGGCCTCAAACGGGGTGTTCGCATGCGTCTCCCCCACGCAGGACAGCGCTTCGTGGCCCCATAGGGAGCTCCACCGAAGGCCTCAAACGGGGTGTTCGCATGCGTCTGCCCCACGCAAGAAAGCGCTTCGTGGCCCCATAGGGAGCTCCACCGAAGGCCCCAGTGGGGGTGTTCGCATGCGTCTCCCCCACCCAGGACAACTTTTCGTCACCCCATAGGGAGCCCCACCGAAGGCATCAATCGAAGGTGTTCGCATGCGTCTCCCCCACGCAGGACAACGTTTCGTGGCCCCATAGGGAGCTCCACCGAAGGCCTTAAACGGGGTGTTCGCATGCGTCTCCCCCGCGCAGGACAGCGTTTCGTGGCCCCATAGGGAGCTCCACCGAACGCCCCAGTGGGGGTGTTCGCATGCGTCTCCCCCACCCAGGACAACGCTTCGTAGCCCCATAGAGGGTGTCTGCATGCGTCTCCCCCACCCAGGACAGCGCTTCATGGCCCCGTAGGGAGCTCCACAGAAGGCCTCAATCGGGGTGTTCGCATGCATCTCCCCCACGCAGGACAGCGTTTCGTGGCCCCATAGCATGCGTCTACCCCACACAGGACAGCGTTTCGTGGCCCCATAGGGAGCCCCACCGAATGCGTTGCTCACAAAGACGGTACTCACAACTGGATATGGTTGGGTCCATCCCCAGGCTAAGCTTCGTAAAACATATTGTCGGCATTCGACTTCTTACAATTGCCCGTATCATTGGTTACTACTACTACTACTACTGCTGCTGCTGCTGCTGCTGCTGCTGCTACTACTACTACTACTACTGCTACTGCTACTGCTACTGCTACTGCTACTGCTACTGCTACTGCTACTGCTACTGCTACTGCTACTGCTACTGCTACTGCTACTGCTACTGCTACTGCTACTGCTACTGCTACTGCTACTGCTACTGCTGCTACTGCTACTACTACTACTACTACTACTACTACTACTACTACTACTACTACTACTACTACTCCAACTACTACTACTACTACTACTACTACTACTACTACTACGACTGCTACTACTACG